GTCAGCACTATCCTTATCTTCAGGGCAGATGTTTTTATTTTATTTGGCTTATAATTCCTTACTTAATGTAGTATTTCATCTCGATATACTCCGTCTTTGATATGATTTAAATCAAATTCCTCATCATTATAATTCACTTCCAATAGTGAAGAAAGTGACACAGAGGTTATTGAAAACGAAAAAATTTCGATTGACAAACTTGACATAGCAGTTATAGGACTTGAACAGCGGAACTTTCTAACTGAAGAAGAAATTATGTCTGTTTATAGAATTAAAGAGAAAGTAGTATCACATAAAACGAAGCAACTTAAACAACTTACATTGAAAGAAATGTTTAATAAAGGAAACAAATAAATATTAAGCTTTTTTCTTTACCGTTTAGATCAGAATTGTTCTTTATTTCATAAATTACGGTTTCATATTTTTAATTTTATAATTTCTGCATGCCATTTTACCAGATTTAAACTGATGATCTATAATCCGGAATCGTCGACGTCCCAATGAGTCCGGATTAACAATTTTGACTGTATATATATATGTATATGTATATTACATTTCTGAATCTAATCCCGATAACAGAAGAATATCAAAATATCCTGCAAATAAGAAGAAGTTTGAAAAAGATTTTGAAGAGAAAACTATAGAAAAATTAATCTCCTCAATGCTGCACAGATTGAATGCTGTGATTAAAGTAAACTGATTTTATGCAAAACAGATTTTTTTTAGAACATACAGACAACTTTTTTTAATTCTGTTTTGTGCTGATAGTTATTGTAAACAGTGCTGGTATTCAATCAAAACCGTAAAAAACAACCTTATATTTAGCGTAGGTATAATGAAACACTCAATCGATTTCGAGGGCAGCTAAAGGTCCCTCCTCATCAGGAGAAAGAAATACATAGAAAGAAAGAAAATAGGAATCACAGAAACACATGGTGCTTATCAGCACTGCACGTCGTAATAACTAGATTTTTAATCAGAGTTGCACTGGCTGCCTACTTTTACTGAGCCAGGCTGTCTGATCAAGCATAAAGAATATTAGCGAAGTTAAAATAGGGAGCGAGGGGCAAATGCACATTACGCTCAAAATCTGAACTTCAAATAATGGAAAGCAACCACTGAACGGATTTTTATACCCTTCTGGTAGTACCAAAGTGCATGAGGAGGTAACACCATCTATCGGCAAAAATAATTGAATTAAGACAGTAGAATTTTAAAGGCATTAGGAAGGACTGGATTGGACTTCAAATCATTAACTAAACTTTCTAAATCTTTGTGAATGTGAAAAGCCTCAAGAAAATCCAATTCGCCCTATGGAAGAAGCCTTTTGGATGATTTTTGCAGACCCAAAATCAAAATTATGGTTAAAAGTCCAGCTATGATACGCTATTGAAGACTTGTTAATTTCCCCTTTTTTGACATAAGATTCATGTTCCTTGATACGAAACTTCAACGCTCTTTTTGTTTTGGCCAATATATCTTAAACCACACTGACATGATATACTATAAATTCCCCAAGAATTCAAGACAGAAACGCAATCTTTTAGAATCGAAGGGTGAATTTTTATTAATAGGGGAGAAACCGACTTGAAAATTGAATTTCTGGAGAATCCGTGCAATTTTATAGCTAACAGAAGGATAAAATGGAAGCACAACAAGGTCATTGATATTATTTCTAACAGTGGAATGTCTTCTTTGATGGGAATCTGAAAATTTTTTGACGGCTTTATCAATAATCACGGGAGAAAATCCACGGTCAATTGCAACTGCTCTCAAATAATTAAGTTCATTGGTAAGCAAAGATTCAGAAGAACAAACTTTTAGCGTGCGGAAAACATAATAGTAAAAAGAAGCCATTTTTTGCTTAACAGGGTGGCATGACTTGGCATGGGGTGGTAAACAAACTGCAAAGGGTTTACGGTACACAGTGGTGCTAAAATCAATTTCATTGCGGATTATAAGAATATCGAGGAAGGGGGGAGGAATTGTTGGATTCAATTTCAAGAGTGAATTGGATGGCTGGATCAATTGAATTCATAATAGATAGAATCTCAGATAAATCCTCTTTATATAACCGTCAAGAAAGTGCGAAAGTGTCGTCAACATACCGAATCCAAAGACGAAAAGATAATTTATCAAATAATTTCATCTCAAAATAGTGCATATAAATGTCAGCAAGTACCGGACTGAGAGGATTACCCATAGCCAATCCTTCAACTTGACGAAAATATGCATTTTGGAAAACAAAGTGGGTTTGACTTAGAGAAACTTTAGTAAGCGAAACCAACTCATTAATTTCAGTATGTGTGAAGTGAAATTCCCGAAGCCTAGTTTCAAGACAATTACCTACGCTAAATATAAGGTTGTTTTTTACGGTTTTGATTGTCACATTAGCGTGTTTCTCTTCTAGTCTAGTGCTGGTATTATTTAAATTAAATGAATAAGCATATTCTTTTTTATGGTGATATATGTTTCTATTCTTTTTTTGTAATGAAATTGCAAGAAATTGTTCTAATACTAAAATTTTGTCCTAATACTTTTGTACTTTGCTAAATTTCGCCATAATTAAAAAAAAAAAAAAAAAAAAAACTGACAGCTTTCAGATTTTATATTAAGCCCAAAGGGGCGAGTTTTTTCCCACCCCCACGGGAAATTCAAAACGGGATTTTAAAAGTGATACAAACATGCAGTCATTCGATGCAAAATACCATTAGACACTGTAATGTCTTTTTGTTGGTATGCTACCAACATAATACCAGTAAGAAATGTAATAAATTTCGTGATGCATGCAACATTAATGGAATGCTTTGAAATCGTTGGGTTTGTTATTCAAAAATTCATTAAAGTTTTACAAAATATGAAATAAATAACAAGATAAATTCCAGATTCCAAATATGGGCTTCCAGATATCCATATTGGAGTGGAGGACTACGTTATTCAAAATTTGATGTCTCTAGGTATCCTTGTTTTCTCACAGTGCTAGAAACATATATAGACTCATACAGATTCTTTATTATTTAATTTCTTTAAATATAATGCAGGGCGCATCACGTTATGGTTTAAATAAAATGTTCTAATCAAAATATTAAAATTTTATTTTACCCATATATTCTATAAGCACTTATCTTCAAACAGAAAAAAAAAAAAGTTTATTTACAAAGAAATCATTCAACACTAGGAACATCTTTTCTGCAACATGAACTTTTTTTATGAAAAACCACTCACAAATGTAAATTATGCAAAACAAACCAGAATAACTATTATTTTTTATGAATAATAATTATTTTCCTTTAATTTAACATGTCATAAATACATTCAGATGAAAAATACAAATATTGTACAAAACATAAAAAAATTACAGTACCTTACTATCAGTAATACCATTGTGTTCTTGCAAAAGATGTCAACTTCCTCAGCATATTCTTGTGCACATTCGTGACATAATTTTTGTGTACATACCAAACAAACTGGCATTTTACAACTTACGCATAAATACAAAGTTTTCAGTTCTTTCTTTTTCTCTAATATTTCGTTTGTGAAAAGGACTTCCCAAATGCTTTTAGGATCTGTAATTTCACCCAATTTTCCATGTGCTCTTAATCCTGGAAGATGAAATATGTTATGTGCGGGAGTTCTCACATTTCTTTGAGGTTCAGTAGATGACCACTTGAAGCAGCTCCTCCCATAATAATATTTTATAGATGAAATGGATTCAGTCTTTAGTTCAATGCATTCATTGTCAGATTCAGAAAATTCTGATGTCATGGAATGTGAAATTTCATTTGCAAAATCTTCTTGGCATTCATATTCATTGCTAAATTCACTTTCCACTTCATCAAGAATTCTTTACAGCACTTCTGCATAACGCGAATTAGAAGGATATATGATATTTCTCGGACCAAGTCTCAGAGCCATGTTTCCACCTGGGACAGAAATCGTAACACTGAGAGGGAGGTGCGGTCTGACATATCGCTCTCAGACAATGGAGTAGAATTTCACAATGAAGCAGGTGCAAAAAATTTTAGCTAATATGCGAGAATTATCAAGGTCACAAAAGGAGAAGCTAGCAGGGAAACCCACTCAATCAGACTAACTAGGGGTGATAGGAACAACACCTGTAGCTGTCTCTGAGACTGCACCTCCCCAGTTACGAGTTAAATGTTTGCCATATATAAGAGAGGTATCAAGATCCAAAAGGTCATTTTTAATTAAAAATTCAGGTCACTTTGCTATATTCATTTTTAATTTCATTAATTCATATATTTCAATAATATTGTTATCAATTTTATAGACATGAAAGTAGTTTTAGTGAAATTATATGTAAATTGTAATGATGTAACATAAAAAGCCTTATGATGTGAAGCACCATCATAAATATAAGCTTACAGAGGTATTAAGTGGAAATAGAATTCAACATTGAAGTAAATAGCTATCTCTCCAGATTGGCTAGATGAGGCCAAGCTGGAAATGGTTTTTGCAACTAATTTTTGTCACCAAGTTTGGTGAGAAATCGCCAAAGGTCTCCAAACCTGACAACATTTATGTCGGATCCTTGTGTAACTGTAATTGGTCCAATATGTATGTAAGTATAATTTTGCATGCCTTCCAGCAATTTCAAGAAATCAGAAGTACTGGAAATTTCTTGGCAGACAGGGGAAACTATATAAGACTGAAGAGAGCATAAATTTTTAGTTCAAGAGTTCTGAGAGATTACTGTGTGAGCTTACACTTTTGAGGCTTTAGCATTATCTTGTGTTCAATATTCTTAGTAGTTTGAAGTTTTAACTACCGATTATGCTCTTAGAAGAACTAAGTACTTTTGGGTGAAAAGTTCTAGAACTGTAAAGTGTTTTTGAAAAAAAAAAAAACAAATTTCAGCAGTTCTGTGTGCATTCAATCTGTTACAAAGCTGTATACATGGAATAGTATTTTATTTCATTTTATTTCTTCATATATTTTCTGTTATATCAATTTTAACTTCATACTTTTCTTTTATTTAGATCCATCCAGATGAAGAAAAATGTAAGAATTATAGTTCTTTACCTCCATATAGTCCTCCTATATTTCTACAGGTAGAATATTTTAATTAATTAAATATTAATGTACACTGCGCACAAAAAAAAAAAAAAAATGGGACAGTTCTATATCTCTCATTCTATTGGGCTGATTGATGAAATTCAAATTATATCCTAAGTCACACTTTCGAGACATGAAAAATGCAAGTTGAATTTCATCAATCAGCCCACTAGAATGGGAGATATAGAACTATCTCCCCCCTTTTTTTTTGGCTCAGTTTACATTGGAATATTTTTTAATGAAATACAAATAATTAATGAATGCAGGGTTAGAGTTTCACACTATAGTTTTAAATAAATAGATGTGTTGTGAACTGTTGATTATAATCATATTTTGAAGTATTAAATTAGTTTTCCGAAATAAAGGCAAATATATGTACCATAATTTATCTGTAGATATAAAAATATGTGTGTATCTTATTTTTTTAGTAAAGTAAAATGTGCCATTTAAAAAGATTTTTGATCCAGTGCTGAAAACTAGTCCAAATCAGAGGAAAACTAATAAATTTTATTTTTATTGGCTAAATTTATCTTGCTCAAATTACTGAGATAAATGTGCATCCAAATCTTCTGTAGTTGAAAAAAAAATTTTCGTCCTTATGTATTAATAGAACCACCTTGGCACATTTGATGACTTTTATAGGTGAAAAGGTTAAAGTTACTTATCAGGATTCAAGTTGGTAATTTTTGTAAATTTTTTTTGAAAGATTCCCAAAAATTCCCAAAATGATATTTATGGTATGTTGGCAAACATTACTAACATTAACATAACGTACTTTTATAATTTAAAATGTAAATTTTAATAATTAAATTATTATTGCATGATACATTAAAAAAATAAAACACTTATAATTTTCTCCAAATCTTTCTGTAATTTTTTGTGCTGTTCTTCTCTCCAAGTACACATTGGTTTGTTTACACTTAAAAAAAATCAGAGAATTTCAGTTATATGGCAACGCATGAACTTCGGTAACATCAACTATCTACCAAATGCATCTTGTTGTTGCTCCCTTTAGAGATTCAAAATTCCGTGCTTCTGGAGAAATTTTACTGCAGTTTCTTCCATTGCTGGCAAATTCCATTAGCGCGTATTTTAAAATTAAGGTATAAAATATCGCAATTTATTTATAAAAGCCTTTGGAATATAACAAAAAGAATGCATGAAAAATGGCAACATTACTTTTACTGAAGGATTGGTTTGAGCATGGTTGGCTGAAGAATGGTTATGAATATGGTTGCCAGTCTGGGACATTCTGAAAATTTGGCAACTTCTACTAAGGTGGTTGCAATCATGTATGTACCTGAAAATTTAATAACTATTTTATTCATAACATTAGTTGTATTTATTTATTTATTTCATAACTTGAGAACACTCTTAGAATTTATAATAAATGTAATCATATGTGTAAATATTGATGCAGTAATTGTTTAAAAATTAGATTTAATAAATATTTTATTTTAATTGTTTTCATTGCATCCAAAGGTATTATTATTTATGAAATAATGTTACCTAAGTGGAAAATTTGTTTTGTTTTATAATCTGAAAATTCTGTAGAAGTAATAGTTATTTCTCTTGAATAATTAAGTTCATAAACTTGAATAAGTAATTTGTGATGAGGAAGAACATTTACATTTCTCTGAATTATTGTAACAAATTGTTACATTACAAAAATGTATTTATTCTCTTTAATTTTGCTCGCGAGTGTATTTGGAGGGGGGAAAAATATTGGATGGATTGCTGAGAGTTTTTTTATTCTATAAGTTCATCTCTACTTTTAACTCACGAATCTTTACTATTTATATATTTAAGATGATTTTATTATCTAACATTTAAAATTATTTACAGCATTTCCCTCTGTACCGATCCTCTGATGCTCACTGCCTAGAACCAGATGCTGCTCCGCCAGAGATAATAAATGAACCATTCAGGGAAACTTGGGAATGTCTATCCAAACAGTCAACAAACAAGGTAGTTAAATGTTTTGTGGTTTTTGAGTTATATTAGAATTATTTGGAGTTCATGCAGAATTGCCCAAAAATGTCACTGTGTCTGATAGACCTCTTAGAAAACACAATTATTGTAAAGAAAATATTTTATACAGTTTTTTTTGGGGGGGAAGGTAGGAGTGTTCCTATTTAAACATTTCCATTTAGCTAACAATGTTATCAATAATTGATTGAATAATTAATAGGAAGACTTCTTCACAGATGTTGACTGATGACCACAAAACTCGCTGTATGGTTGCAGCATTTGAGTTTCTTGACCGTTACAATACTGACGGAGAAGAGTTTTTGAAATCCATTGTGACAAGGGATGAGACATGGGTTCAATATGACACACCTGAAACGAAAGGACAATCACAACTATGGATGCACACAAATTCTCCAAAGAGACCCACAAAATTCAAACGAACCTTTAACAACCGTAAGGTTATGGCAACTGTTTTTTGGGACCAAAAAGGTGTGTTTTTCTGTGGCGTTTTGCAGCCTGGAACAACAATTAATGCATTTTCATATTGTGAAACTTTGCAACGCTTACAGAGAGCTATTCAAAACAAACGAAAAGGCATGCTGACTTCTGGAATTGTTCTGATCCGCGACAATGCCCGTCCTCACAGCGCTCATGTAACCCAACAGCTTTTTCAGCAATTTCAATGGGACATTTTTGAACATCCACCATATAGTCCCAACCTAGCGCCAAGTGACTTTCATCTGTTCCCTGAACTGAAGCAGTGGTTTGGTGGGAAGCACGTCCAAGATGATGTGGACGCTGAAAGAAACCATCACAACTCATTTCCAATCATTGGCTGAGACATTTTATAAAGAGGGTATTGTAAAGCTTGTTCACAGATATGACAAATGCCTCAATTGTCAAAGTGATTATGTAGAGAAATAACCTGTGTTGTACATTACTTTTGGTAATAAAATCTTTTTGGATATTCACCCGTCTTTTCTTTATAGCCCATTGGAGGTTGAAAAAAAAATAGTCCTCATAGTTTCAAAATATATCGCAAGTTTTTGTTTGCTGTAGCTGTGCTTTTCTGTCAATTTCTGTTGTTTGCAATAGTTTTCTATCAAAGGCTTGTTGTGATTGTTGAAATGATTTGTGTTGAAAAGCTGTTGTTCTACTCAAAAAGTAACTGAGTTCTGTTGGTTGTGTGTTGGAGTTAAGCGGTTGAATGGGATGAAAAGTTCTCCATTAGTCTTTTACAGTTACGTTGATGAGGTAAAACTTTAGATTTAATATCATAACTATATGCAATTATTCCTCAGTTGTCAAATTTCTAGAACAAACATTTCTGAACTGGGGTTCCTAGGATCCTTGATATTCCTCAAGATATAAAGATAAATATGTTAATAGTGATAAATAGTTGAATATATTTTCGTGTTTAATTTCATATTTGCAATTTAACTAATTTACTTTGATTTATATTGCTGCTTAGTGAATGTAAGTTATTTTATGTGTCATTTACTTTGCTTTCATGGGTTAATTTTTGAAGGCTAGACGGTGTTCCATAATTGCTTCTTCAATTTATGCTGTTTCAACTTAGGAAGAATTTCACAGGAGTAGTCTATTTTTTTAAAACAAAAGAAACATATTAGATAAATATAATAATTCTGGGTCTGAGATCTAAGTTGTTTATTGAAAACATTCAAAGTTTGTGTAAGGCATTATTTTTTTTTTTAAATCAGTATTTAAATACTTGTAGTTTCATTTTTCTACAGATGAGTATTATATTTTGAGAGTATTTTTTCCTGTATTTTTTCACTGTGATTCAAGTATGCATACTATTAAAATATATCTCATGTTGAGTTGTATCGCAAAGCATTCTTTTGTAACATCTGTTTGATCACAAGGTGCTGCATCTTATTTGTATATTTTTTATGTCTGCATATTTTTATATATAATTATTATTATTACAGTAGGTATGTCTCTCAAAAAAGTGATTCTTCAGGAGACACAAAAGTCAGAATTAGTAGTTCTAAATTTTTAGCCACATGGGGAATAAGTGCATGCTCTCTTACTTGCTCCCCACTTTCTTGCCGCATATTTTATTTTGCAGAAGGCTAGCCTTTATTTCCTTTTAAATTGCCTATTTAAAAATTGACATATTATTGTGATGAAGAAGTATTGAGAATGATTTTATAAAACGCAAGATTTTTATTTATCGGTCAGTATTATTACATTTCCTTCAGGGAATCCTCTCTGATTGAAGTTGATTATGCCAATGTGTTTCCCAATCCTTGAGACATGATTTATTATTATGATTATTTATGATTAAGTTATTTGAAAGTGTTTTCTTGGTAAGGAAAGAGGTTTGGGAGACACTGAAACCATCCGTCAAATGTTCTGCATTAAAATTGGAGCAGAACTGCTCAGTTAGCATGATAAGGCTAATGAGGCTATACGTAAAATAGTGAAATTTTGAGTGTCCCGCCCATTTGTACCAGTTCTTGTATTATGTCAATAAATGATGACTGAAAAAAAAGTCGTTTTAACTGTGGAAGTAGGAAAAGATCTTATTGTGCTATATCAGGTGAATGCTGTATTATGAAACCATATTGTGTTGTGAGCAGGTTCATTATCATGGTGCATTTCTTTAAGTTGCTTCACAGATTCATTACAGAATATTTACATACTATTCTTTGTTAACAGTTTGGCCAAGTGGTAGGAATTTCTAATGCACAGAATTATCAAAGGTTCAACATTATCTCCATTTTTAGTCAAATTTGACACCATGTGTTTTTTTTTTTTTTTTTTTTTTTAAGTCTTGTTTCACTTTTTAAGTGTCTAACTGTATTGTTTGGCCATTTAATTGTCAAACATGTAGATTCATGTTTCAGGATTTTAAAAAAGGACCTCCCTTAAGAAAGTATCTTTTAAACAATTTGAATGTACTGTTATTTTTGGAACAATTCACAATGTATTGTGTTGCAAATCCTAATGATCTTTCAAAATTGCTTGACAGATTTCAGATAATACAAGAACTTCTTCAAAAAGATCACTAATTGTTAAAGGATAATTATTAAGTACTGGATCTCTCACTTGAGTGACGTTTTGTTCATTAACCCTTTAACTGTTAAGTTATTTTGATGATTTGGGTACACAAATTGTCAAATTTTTTTATTGGAAAAATCAAATGTTTAGTACAAAATAAAATATACTTAAGTAGTTAAAAATTGATATTTTGAAGTGCATGGGTAAAATTTTTTAAAGTTTTGTAACCACTGCATATTTGCTTGAAGCGGCTGCCACTCAACATGACAGTTGTAAAATTCACTTCTAGTGGAGCATTATTTTCTAAAAATGAAAAAAAATTAATTATTTTCTAAAAAATAAATAAATGAAAAAAATAAATAAAAGTGAATACCTATTAGTAGTTCAGTAATTCAGTCTTGTGTGGTACAACTGGAAACACTTTTCCAAGCACAAACCAACTCCACAATCACTACACCAGAATCGTGTTTCCTTCCTTATCTTTTTCCCATTTTTATCCTTTTTCAAACAACATACTTTGCACTGTCTTGTAGGCTCACGTTTCACAGGAGTAGGAGGAATATGGGAAATAAAATGTCGTTCAGTAAGACGGGCAGGGTTATCTATTGTAGGTGGTCTGTCTGCCAACATTCTTTTGTCCAGAAGCTGCATCATCATATTTATGTAAAAGCTCTTCTACAACTTGGATTCAAAATTTTAAAAATGTAATACATTTCCCAACTACATTTTTATAGAGCAAATATGAGTTCCAAAGTACCTTGTCTAGTAAATGTAAAAATATCTTTTTATAATATTTTTTCTGACGTTTTCGGATTGTTAGATGAAAGGATATTTCCTGATCACAGCCATCTACACCACCCATAGTTAGACTGTAGCCAGAAACAATCTTCGGCTTCAGTATATCTTCATTTTTTTAAATTTTTGAGGCTGACCATGGAAGTATCATAAATACTGCTCATCAAACACACATCCTTCATCTTCGGTTGAAGAATGTAAATCATCTATATCTTCAAAGAACTAGATGCCATTTTACAACAAAAAGATCCCATGCACTTTGAACCAAAGAACTTATAACCTCTAACCTTTGAAATCTTCAGTAAAGTGCTGTCATCTATTGAATTTTGGAAACTCACATAACAGAAATTCTTTATTCATTTCACCACACACACACACACACACACACACACACAAAAAAAAAAAAAAAAAAAAAAATTGCACATGGGTCATTATCAGATATTGATGAAAATTGTAACATTTGAAAAAACTTTACACCTTCTTGTATGTTGTATTTTAAATGAATCATACATGATACTTTACAATCTATTTCAGTGATAATAATATGCCCTTAAAATTCCTTACTTGTATGACAAAAATATTTCCTTTTGATATTCATGTGCAAAAGAAGCTGAATATTTCTGAATACTATAGTAGTCACTTATTGATTCATGATCCCTTTTTCTCCCAATTATAAGACCTACTCATATGCTGTATATATGGTGTTTGTCATTTTTCTGTGTTTAACAGGAGAGAGAAGAGATTCAAAGTTTAATAACACAAATATTCTTAATAACATCTATTACATTAAGAAGGAAAATTTCAATTCGATAATGATTACAAACAGAATTAACAACAAACTTTCCCTCCTAGTTAATTTAATTATAAAATGAAAATGAATTTTACTCCAAAGAAGCTGCATAAAGTGTTAAATTATATATATATATATAACCTTTGCCTGCAAAGTATTGAGCCTATTCTTTTAAAATTCTTTATCATATTTCTCAAAACTTATAATTGGGTTGTGCATCTAGATCAGAATTAAGGAAAGTAAAGCCTGTACCTACCTTTTTAGAACCTTATGTATAATTCTGTAATAAGGTATTTTTGCTGTTAAACCTAAAATATATGTTCATTTGTATGTTAAAATATTTTGTGGTCGATTCTGAAAATGTTTTCTGATTAGATTTTGGATCTTCTTGAACCAAGAGTTGCCTTCAGTGGTCACACTCATCACGGATGTTTTACTCTTCATAGAGAAAGGATACCTGAATGGACTATACCATCCTTTAGCTGGAGAAATAAAAATGATCCGAGTTTTATACTTGTAAGTTTTTCTATTCTTTATTAAATAAATATTTATGTAAATTTACTACATAGGTTTTTTGTTGTAGTTCTGAAAGTATCATCATTTTGAGGAATAAATCTTTATTTATAGGGGCATAGTGTTAAGTTTTAAGCAAGTAATTAAAAAATTAAAAGTAAATTGTAATTATGTGTTGTCAGACCATCATGCAGTCCTGTTTATTTGAGACATTCAAACTCTTCTATAGTAGGTCTAAAAATAACCAATTCTGTTTTATTGTTTAAAACTAAACTAGTAGTACTAGTTTAGTAAAAAAGTACATTAAATTGATATAAATTTTGAATAAAAGTATATATTGATAAACATATATAGTAAATTCATATAAATTTTGAGGTGATTTAGGTAACCGTTGTTGCTCTTCTTGAGGAGCAAAAAAATCTGCAAAGGTGGAAGAAGCAAAATCATTTATACAAAATTTAATAAGCAGAGAAATAAATGTAGCAGCATGTATTGAGGTAAATTGTTAAAAAAAAAGTTTGAAAAGGCTGAGATAGAATTTAGGCCGGGATATCTGGGAAGAACTGGATTGGAATTAATGACACTAAGTAAAGGAGATAAATTTTTCTGAGTGTGAAAGGTTTCAAGTTAATACAGTTCACCAGCTGAAGAAGCTTTATGGATAATGTTCACAAAATCAAAGTCAAAACTGTGTTTAAGTAACCAACTATAATTAGCTATGGAGATTTACTTTTCCTTTAAGAACCTAGGATTCATGTTCTTTGATTCTCTTCCAATTAGACTGTACTCTTAAGTGATTTCTTGTCCTGCTGTTTAAAACTGCTGTCTTTCAAAAATCCACACTTATCCATCATACTTGTGCAGATTATGATTTTATTACATTATGAAATATAATAAAATAATGAATATGTAATAATTTATATAAAAGTAAAAATCATCAATGGGGGATGCTTGAATAAGTACTTACTTTTGAAAATATTATAGTTAAGTATTTTTAAATATTCCATTCTGAATTCCATTTAGTATTATATGGATCATATTTTGAACTTCTTTTGTGTATTAGTGAACAACTTGCAAGTGAACCTTTTTTCCCTGAGAACAGAATAGCTTCATGTGTTACCAAACAGGCTCTTATATAAAAAGTTTGAAAATTTGACCTTTATAAAAATTACTTTTATTTCCTCTTCTAAATAATCACAGTTCTGTGATATAATCTCTCTCTCTCTTCCCCCCCCCCCATCTGTCAAGACAAACTGTACTATTTCCATGCACTGTGACTAAATATTCAGTTTCATGGCTATCCATCAGCATCTTCAGCATGCCAAGTACAAAATATTCACAAAATTAGGAAAGATAAAATGAAAGGCAAATGATTGTACCCAAATTTTCATATGAAGAACAGAATTTTTAGCCAAAAAGTACCAATTTTCTTTGAATTAAGGATATGGATTATTAAGCAAATTATGCTTTGAAGTGCTTAAGAAACTAAAAGGAAAATTAATTTTTAAAAAAGTTTAGCTATTTAGCAAACATGCTAACAACACAATTTCATGCAGTTTGATTTGCCTGTTATCTCATCTTCAAATATTGCATTATTGATTATCATATTTAATTTATTCTAGCTTGATTTTACATTCATAAATGTCATTAATCAATAATGGATTGAAATTTTTGGAGTTCCCTCCCTGTCTAATTTAGTGGAAAAACTTGTATAACATTTATCAAATGTTTTGCTTAGGTAAATTTTTCTGAATGTTTTATTAATTTATTATTAAATGCAATCATTAGATTTAAATATAGTTTTTATATTTAAATTTTGTAATGATTCTAAAAGTGAGAGCAGTGTTTGTGGAAAGTTTTGAATTTAAGAATTATCAAAATATACTAAGCAAAACAGGAAGCTCTTTGGATTTTTATATATTTCATGATGAGGAAGTTAGATTAGATGGTGATTTAGAGAAGGCTTATCTTCTCCCCTCCCCAGAAAAAAAGTGATGTAAAAATGTCCACGAAGATTTCCATGATGGGGAAGTTATAAATGTCGTAGCATTGAAAGCTAATCATTATGCTTAACAATCACATTAATTAAATGGTTTGGCACCATTATGTAGAAAATATTAGAAGCCCATGACAATGAATGAAATTCACATGTTTCTCACACTGATCATGGTGCATAGCATTGTGAAAAAAGCTAGGTTTTTTTTGTGTTGTTTTAGAATATGTAATTTTCATCCAGAAATTTGAAGATTAATAGTGTATATGAAATATCAGTCTATGTAAAAATATTTACTACTTATACTACCATGTGTGGAAAAAGGTCAGTATTAAAAGAGGGTTTTTTTTTTTTTTTTTTTTTTTTTTTTTTTTTTTGTTCACATTTTTTGACCAGTTAATGAATTTTTACATATAAACAGAAAATACTTTTTTGTTTTAAATTTTTGAACTAAGCCAAATGGAGACAGTTTCTGAAGAGGTTTTTGAGATTTATTAAATTGAGAAGTGTTTTACTTGTATCTTTGATTGTAATAATCATATTTTAGTTTTCTTCCTTTCAGCATAGTAAAATTAAGTTGTAGTCGTAATGTAGTATTACATTGATGCGAGATCTTACATTGATTAAATACATTTTACTTTTAAGTGGCCTAAATACATTTACCCATTGCATCACTTCGAAAAAAATTATATCTGGAGCTATTGAAAATTACATGCTTAACCACATGCAATAAGAATTTATTCACATGGTGACTGATAAAATATAAGGTGAAGTATGAAATGTGGAATATTGTTTCAAAGATTTGAAATAAATTGAAAGTAATTTTAAAGTAGGATGAGTAATTTAAGACATTGCTATGTATTTTATTGAAAGTTTTTTTAAGTTGTAAAATTATTCTATTTACTTAGATATTTACTCTGCAAATTTTTCAAAACTGTATTAGCTTACGAAAACAGAGAAAAATTATTTTGAAAGTTAGTATTTTCTATTTACTCATGTAGTTAATCATGTTCATCCTAAAAATGTAAGGTTGATCTTTACATTATGGTAACTTGGCGATTTTTTGGCGAAAATTTGCCGACCAACTCTCCTACAGCAACCCTCCATTTTTTTTCCCCCGCCGCCATTTTGTCTTCACGAAGTAAAGACATGTTTCTTTTCTTTTTATCTCCTGAACACTTCTTCCAACAATCTACTAGCCGAATTACACTTATGCTAGAAATTTTATCAAACAAAACTGCTTAATCATGACAAATATTCACTGCAAAATTAGGAAAAACTGCACAATACCATTCTCCTTACGCATTTTTCAAAATAACACATACACATAAACCATGTACACGCCGACTTATTTTTACTTAAAAAAACATCCCAGAATTGCACAAAATGGCATTGCGCACACTCTTCACTATATCCATGTACACTGCTTTTTTTCTCATAAATTAGAAAAAATTTCACGAAAATACATGACAATTTTCTCAATCTTTAAACCCGGTAAAAAGAACATATATGAAATTACCTGATCGCGAAAAAGTAATGAACATTTCCACATATAAAATAAATAAAATATCCAAAAACTTTTACCTCTAAATCATCTATTACATTATGCACGTCACCAACGAATTCATACCACAAGCATTACAAATACTTAGTATCAAATATTTAAATTATTTCCATGCACATTTATTTCAACTTAAACGTATACCAAATTCCTACAAGCATAAAATTCACAAAATAACTATCATTTCATTAAAATATCACTAAACCATGTACACGTCGACTTATTTTTACTTAAAAAAAACATCCCAGAATTGCACAAAAATGGCATTGCGCGCACACTCTTCACTATATCCATGTACACTGCTTTTTTCTCATAAATTAAAAAAATTTCACGAAAATACATGACAATTTTCTCAATCTTTAAACCCGGTAAAAAGAACATATATGAAATTACATGATCGCGAAAAAGTATTTACCCTTTACAAATATCAACATTTCCACATATAAAATAAATAGAATATCCAAAAACTTTTACCTCTAAATCATCTATTACATTACACACGTCACCAACGAATTCATACCTCAAGCATTACAAATACTTAATATCAAATATTTAAATTATTTCCATGCACGTTTATTTCAACTTAAATGTATACCAAATTCCTACAAACATAAAATTCACAAAATAACTATCATTTCATTAAAATATAATTAAATTCAAAAACACTACTTAAAATATAAATGAGAACATACATTAAATTAATAAAAATTACCTTACAATCCTAATTACTTTAAACTAAATCATTGCTAATAACAATTTTCCCAATAATACCAAATTCCTTTCCACCTTACATTTACAACAATGCATAAAAATAATATCCTCAAATAATTAAAAATACTAACTTACCTAATCTTCTTCAGAATCTTGATTACGTGGCGGATACACTTTTCTCTTACTTCTGTTTCAGAATCTTTAAAATCATACTTATCTTTCAAAGCAAGATACCAGGTAAAATAAATAACATAATAAAACATCTTTATTTCTCTCTCGCACAACCTTAAAAAACATTTATTACTATCCTTTTCAATACCACTAAATACCCATTTCGAATTCACTTTAGTTACGGCCATGGGATCCAAAAATTCACAAACACTATTTCACACAACACAGAATAAAGCCAAATACAAAATTGCCAGATTTTTTCCCGATTAAAGAACAGTAATTCGTCCATTAATATCACATAACATATCCCATGATCTCTCATTTCCCTCACACAAAATAATGCGTAATCAGAACTGAATACTACTCACATTCTTAACAAAGTCTAACTAACCTAACCTTCTTCCGAATCTTCCTTACATGGTGGATACACTTTTATTATGGATTCAATAAAATTACTGAACGATTTTTTTTTCGAATTTGATAGAATTTGATTAAAAAAAAATTCTCTTTATCACATCTACAATTCACTTTAGATAGCGCCATACAATCCCAAAATTATTCAACCCTACTTCACACAACACACAATGAAGCTTAATACTGCAAAATAATATACATCCACAGATACTTGTCCAAATTTATCCCCCTTTTCCGATTAAAGAACCGTATTTATTCGTCCATTAATATCACATGACATATCCCATGATCTCTCATTTCCCCCACACAAAATAATGCGTAATCGGAACTGAGTACTGCTAACATTATTACCAAAGTCCGAGGTAGTAACCTTTATCGCCTCCAAAATGTCGCCAAACAACCAGTTACCATATTGTAAAGATCAACCAAATGTAATTCTGGTTGTTGTGTAACATGTTTATCTACACTGCAGATTTTATTATTAAAGTAATGCTGTATAGAACATCTGGTTTTAATCAATTTGTACTTTTTTCCAGGCTACTTTTGCACCTGATGCTTATATGGTAACAAAATGCTACATGCCAAAAGAGAGTACAATAGTCAATTTCTACACACTTGGTTGTACTGCCATTTTGATATGGATGTACTTTACAAGATATAGATTTTTCAGAGGTGCCTATTACAAAGAAAAGTAGTTAATTTTGTAATAAAAAAACTGAAGATAATTTTTCAGATGATAAATAAGACATTTAGAATTAAAAGCCAGAAAATATTTGGTGCTGGTTCATACAGACTGCATTGTAATGTCTTTCATTTTTAAAGTATGGTTGTTTTTATAAATATTTTATCTTTGAATAAATATATATTTGTTTTATTTTGCTTACATTTATTAAATTTTATTGCATTACTCTCTGTTTTTAATTTTCAAAATGCATTTTTAGCTTATGCAAGTTTTAATTTCTATAAAATTAGAAATTAAGTTTCTAACATCATTCAGATTTTGTACATTCTTTCCAAACCGATAAAAGTATGAATAATAAACATATTGCCTCAATAAATGCCACAAATATAAATGTCAATTGCATCTACAGTAGTATGAAAAATGTGTTAAGTAATATGAATTTTTATCTTATCAGAAAGGAAATGAAAATTCTTAGAATAAAGTCTTTATGTATTCATATGTTCTTCATCTGGAAATAATATCAGAAATCAATATACAGTGAGACCTTGATGGTACATCACTCTTGACATTAACCAAAAAGTATTGTAAATAAACCAAATGTATTGAGTAGAATGATTTTAGATTTAAAATGAGTGACTTTAGTGTTTAGTTACATATACCGTATTTGACGGTATATAAGACACATTTTTTTCCCTAAATTAGGTCTCAAAAAAGGTTACCTGCATCTTATACATGAAGGACACAGGGTTAACTTTCAATACTGAATGCTATTTTTAGCCTGGATAAAGGTCTAGAAAAACATAACTTTTTCTTCATCTGCCATAATTATTTTGCGCATGTGTGAAATATCTATCGCCAAAAAGCACCAAAGCTCGAAGCTAATGTCGAAGTTCAAACAGGTTCGGTGGTCACATTACGTCTATAGAGCCTTTCCTTCTTTACATAGACTTTCTTTTTGACTCAGCTGACACACGTGTCGGCATCGGTGTGTAAAACTATTTGTTTAAAAAAAAAATACCCTGGAAAATATGACTACAGGAAACAAGAGATTAAGCTACACAATTCAGTATAAACTAAAAGTGTTAAACTACACCAAAGTGCATGGAAACAGAGCAGCAGCAAGGCATTTCAATCCACCACCTACCGAAAAAATGATACGTACTTGGCGACTGCAGGAAGATCAACTGAAGATTGCTAAAAAACAAAAAACATAACCTTTGTTGCCCAGTTCCATCTTGGCATGAACTTGAAAATGCCGTAAAAATGTGGGTGATAGATGAGAGGAAATCTGGGATAAGTGTTTCAACCAAAATGATAATCAATGAGGCCAAAGGATTTGCAGATAAAAACATAAGAATCAGAACTTTTCAGGGTCTGAGGGCTGGTGCTACAGGTTCATGAAAAGGCAAGGCTTATCAATGCGCACGAAAACAACTATTGCACAGAAAATGCCAGCAGATTATGAAGAAAAATACTAGTATTCATAGGTTTGTTATAAATACACGCAAGAAAACTTCTTTTGAGCTCGGTCAAATAGGAAATATGGATGAAATTCCACTTACATTTGATGTACCATCAACAAGACTGTGAATATTAAAGGGTCTAAATCAATAACCATAAAAAAACCACATGTCATGAAAAATCCAATATACGGTAGTTCTAACATCATGTGCTGATGGTACAAAACTACCGCTGTTTTTCATATTCAAAAGAAAAACTCATCCGAAAGAAAAACTTCAAACAGGTGTAATTGTTCATGTTCATTCGAAAGGCTGGATGGACAAAGCTGGAATGAAACTGTGGTTACAGAACGTATGGGCGAGGTGACCTGGTGGACTCTTAAGAAAACCCTCTCTTTTGGTTTTGGATCAGTTTACGCCCATAGAACTGAAACCATAAAGAATAAAACGAGAGAATTATAAACCCAGATAGCTCTCATTCCTGGTGGACTGACTAGCCAATTGCAGCCTTTAGATGTATCGGTGAATAAGCCATTTAAGGAAAAAAGTTCAGAACGATGGAACAAGTGGATAGGAGAGCCAATCAACCCTCAGGTAGAATAAGTAGCCCTCTATTTCACAAGTGTGCGAGGAGTAAAAAGATCTTGGGAAGACGTAAAGGCTGAAGTAAGGTTAAGTCTTTAAGAAGTGCAGAACAGTAATGCTTTGACGAACAGAAGACGACGCATTATTCGAAGGTGATACTAGCGATGATGAAACAGTAATGATGACGATATTCTTGTTTTTGATGATGATGAAGTGAAAAAGATTTTTTAGGTTTTGAAAGTGATTAAGTTCATTTTATGACAGGCAACGTTTTCCTTGAATTTGTGTTTTTTGTTGTTTCGCTTTTTTGTATTATGTTTGATTGCTTGCCGTTCATTCATTTATTCATTATTGAAATTTACTATCATGTTCAAATAGCTTACCGTTTGTAATTTTCCTTATAAAAATATGTTGGTAATTGCATTCTGATGTTATTTGGCTTTTACGAAACGTGAGAACTAAAAGAAACCACATTTTAAGTTATTGTGGTACACTATTGAAGCTATTTTTCCTTGTGTGTGGCCTTCTAAATAAGGGTGCGTCTTTATGCCAGTGCGTCTTATATGCCGTCAAATACAGAATATGTTTTTTATTTATTTAACCTTTTGCTACTTTAAAGATTTAGCTTTAGCAGCACAGAATACTTTTTAAGAAAGTTGTTGATGTACAGTGGGTTTTAACAAAACCAGCTTCCACTAATCTCTCAGGTTTCTTTAACATTGATTATTTCTGTTATTTCTTTCTTTTCTCTTTAAGCATTAAATATTTTTGCTTTCTTTGGTTATTTCTATTTTTTTTAATGTCCATGTTATTCTTTTTTTCTTTTAGAGGTAATTTGTTTTAATGTTCTTAATGCTTAATAGAGGGGGAGAAAAATCTGTGTAAAATTATACGAAGCATGAACACCGGGGGGGGGGAGAAAAAAAGTCTAAGGCGTTAGATCAGAAGGACTATTAATTTAGTTTTGGGATTTTGCATTGATTCATTATAAATGTCGTTTCACTTTTCAAGTTGTTGCCACCAAATATTAGAGCCCTGTATTATATTTAAAGACATTAAATGTATGTATGTTTCTCGCATTGTAATAAAACAACGGTACCTAGAGCGAGCAAATTTTGAGTAATGTACGTTTCCACCCTAATATTGGCATCTGGAAGCCCAAATTTGGAATTTGTTTTATTATCTGTTTCATGTTTTATAAAACTTTAATGAATTTTTTATTACCAAACTCAGTGATTTAAAAGCGAGCAATTGCAACACCGTATGAAAGAGGGGACATTTTTATCTCGAGTGTGCGAGACTGTGTATCGGAAATTCTAAAGTTATGCTCATTTTAAAATTATTTTGAGATATTGTTGTTGAACTGAATTTTATGGTTTAAGTGCAAAGAATTTTATATTTAATGAATAAAGGTAACACACAAAATGTTAAAGAATGCCCTTTTGGGCATAATATATAATCTGAAAGCTTTCATATCTTTTAGTTTTTTATTTTTTATTTGTTTTTTTAAACCATTCAAAACAATGAGAAACAATCTTTACAGTCAAACAATGAGAAATATCACCATATCTTTCTTAAAATTTGCATGTTTGCAGCAGAAAGCCTATTTCTTAATTGATCAAATTTGTTACAGTTTGCAATGAAATTAGAATGACAGGTGTTTAATACTAATGAACAATTTGAGAAAGGCTAGCTTCTGTTCTTTAATGGGTATTCTGGGTAGAAGAAAAGTAAAGAATCTGCATTCTGGCATTATGGGAACTCTGAGATGATCAGTTTCAGTATTTTTAAGGATAAATGAATTCAGTTTCTGTATGTTTTCAGTCTGGTAAATAGGGTGCTTTATTTCAAAGTCTGTATAATGAATAATAATTATAGCATTAAAAAAATTCAAACTGGTATAAATTTCACTTTGGAAGAGTTTCTTCTTGAAAAGTAATGGGAGAAACAGAGTAAGTTTTATGGATAAATAATGTTTTAAGATATTTCTTGACTTTAAAAAGTGGCTTGTTATCTCAGTGATATTACTTTTGTGTGCAAAGTGTTTATTTATTCACAAACGTATTCAGTATTGTGAACTATATGAATATTATTATAGTTTAGATGCAGTGGAACCTTGGATCAAGAACACCTTACTTCACAAACAATTTGGTTCATGAACAAATTATTTAAACAAAAACCACCTTTTATGACAAGTAATGAATGCCCAAATTAACAGGTACAGTAGAGTAAAATTAAGTTTGGAGTTATTTTGTTTTATATTTAATGATGCCATCAATTTTAGGTTATGAATTTGCACATGATATCTCTGTGAAGTTTAAATAAGCAGTAAACACTAGTGGTGCAGGAATGAATTACTCCATTTTACATTCATTGCTATGGGAAAATAAGTTTCATTTTACGAACATTATAGTTGACAAATGGCCTTCAAAGATGAATTAAATTCATGAACTGAGGTTTCACTGTTTATTATGTATAATCATTTCAAAACATATCAAAATAGTTGATGAATTCCATTACTTTATTAAATATAGTAGCCATGACAATGATTTATGGCTACAGGTTACACTTTCTTTATATTTTGAAGAAACTGAATGAATCCTGGTAAATACTATTTTTTATTTTCCATATCTCTTGCAAACATTAATAATGATAGAAATACTGCTTACAGACTTTGACACATTCATAAACAAATCTTTGCATAGTGGGAGTTTTAGATTTTAAATGTGCATCTCATTTAGACAGAGATATAGGAATTTACTAACCTGTTTTTGGGCTGTGATTGTTTTGTTCAAATAGAGATCTTCAGTAGCACTAACATAATTGAATTTAAAATTACTTCATGGAACTAGACATTGATTTATCTTTACCAGTATATATCATCAAAGATTATATTATAAGTTTCACAGAATAAACTCGGGTAAACAATAAGCAATGAGACGCAAAGCAAAATTTCAGAGTATTAATATGCACTATTTTTATTTTAGCAAAGAGAAAAATCATATAATTAAGAAACAACTAAAAATACTGTAGGAATTTAAAATTTTGCATCATGATATGTAGTGTAGAGAGGGATTTTTATGTGTGACTTTATGTTCAATAATTACAGAATAGTTGTTTTATTTCTTCTGATATTTTTTTGACTGT